AAATAAACAATCCAACGATCGTAAGAATATTCTGAATAAAATCCTATCTATTAGTGATCTTAATATGAGTCAAGGGGTTGTTATGGAGACTAATCAAACCAATCCATCAGAAACTTATAACTGTATGCAATAATAATATTATAATTTATTAGTTTAATTTAATAGTATTTTAAATTTTAAATATAGATAATGGGAATGGGATTAAACCAAAACCGCGAACCCCTGGCCTTATTCATCGTACACAAACTAACATCCAGGACAATACACAGCCAACAGTCGTAGTGGACAATCACATTAATTATTTTGGTGTAGTATTACCTAAAAAGGACCAGAGATTGTCACTATACGAGCGAATACAGCATAACACCTATGAATTTCTGTACAAACCGAGTGGTCTATTCTCGTATACCTATCACATACTCGTATTGATTCTGGTATTATTGTGCCTCATAATGACTTTCCTGATAACTGTCCAACAAATTGCTGTCATATCGTGGAAAATCATGGATATCTTGGAGAAGGTGATCATCGCGTGGTTTGCGTTTGAGTTTGTCATCCGTTTGTGGGCCAGTGGTTGTCGGCCGGAATACCAGGGCTGGAATGGGAAAGTGCGATATCTATGCAGAATCGAGTCAATCATAGATTTAGTGGTGATTGTGGTGTCGGCGGTGGTGTTGGGACTCCAGCCGATCAACTTAGTCGTTGACACGAGTATAGTGTTCGCTGCGGCAGCCCTTCGAGGCTTTCACCGGCTGTTTATAGTCATACGACTGGTGTGGGCGAGAAAGTCCACTTCTGGTGTTGACAGTGCCGTCAGTCCCTTCCGGATGTTTGTGTCTGTCCTGTACTCACAGAGGGAACAGTTGGCTATTATTACATATATTAGTTTNGAACACAACAATGGATAGCATTTGTGAGCGCTTTTCGATACCATCGCCAGCAATACATTGAGTCCTATAAGTGTTGACATTAAACAAAATGAGCATAATAAGGCCGTCAATTTTAGCAAGGTCTTTGTATCGTGATTTTGAATGGTGTATATAAATAATTGACACGAAGGGACGCAAATAAAATACAAAATAAAAATGATTTTCGAGAGACATGTATCCACTAAACGAGTGCTCCGTGCGATCGAGTAGTGGTCAACAATGGCTTGCATTAGCCGTGCGTTGAGTCCATGTTTGGTCCAAAACTTTAACCGTGTATTGATGTCATCGAAACTGTATTTTAGATATAACACAGTTATGCTGTAAATACAAGCGCCAAGGTTCAGGGTAACTATTTGCTGACAAATAGATATTACTGTTATAAAACTCCAAACAATTGCAGCTACCATTGAATAGTCGTAATGATTGTCAAAATATGCCACAAATGTCGGGATAATTATTACGAGTGAATAGATAATTACTGTGAAATAACTTAAATGTTTTATGATCATGTTCATAAATACATTTAAAATGAGACAGGCATTTTTAATAGCATCTTTATTAAGCGCTACTATATATCGTTTGTATTTTATATCATTCAATACATTTAAAACACTAAACTTATTATTAGATTCGTATGTTTGTACTAGCGCATTTATCAATGTTACTGTTAGGGACCACATAAATGTGAGTGCAAAACATAAATGTCTATTACCAAGCATGAATGTAGGGTCGCATATTAGCTTGCGAACCAATGGCCAATAAGTGCTTGATGAAAATACTAATCCAATGAAACACCGGATAGTAAATACAAGTGTTATACATGTAATGAAGGGAACGGCTACTAATCGTCGGATACTTTTCACTCCCGATTCGTATTCATCAAAATTGGAGCAAATTGTGAACAAATACTTTTGGCAATACTTTTCCACCACAGATATGCCTAACGATAAATCGTACCATTTTTCTAGATCGTACCTTGATAGTTTATGTATTTTATAGTTTATGATTAAAGTTTTGAGGTTTATGTTCAAGCAATTAAAATGTTTTAGTTTGTTATTTACATCCATTGTATAATTAATTAATTACTAACCTAGATTATAATTATATTAAATAAGGTTATAATAATGTATGCACACAATTAAAGTCTGAGACTTATATACACAAAAATAATTTCGTAAATGTCATTTTAATATGAATATTTTGATGATATTTAATGTTATATTAATAAGTATTTTAATTCATTTAATCAATAAATATATTTATATGTAACTTTATCAGAATGTTATGAAATTAATTAAGTAATTTCGTGATAGATCATTTATTGATTTAAAGATATCGTGATTACTATTTTAGAAGCTAATCTAAAATCAATTTAAACTATAAAATAAACTTATGAACAATATTTACATAATATAATTCTGATATATAGGTAAAAAAGAAAAATTTGTTTTTTTATTATTTCGAAATTCTTTGTCTATTTGATTATTTTATAAAGTATAAATTATCAATTAGAAATAAAAATTATTTTTGCATAGTAAAAAACATTTAAAACATTTGCATAATAAAATTATTAATGTATTAAATATAAATATTTCATTAAAATTAAAGGAAATAGTAATGAGTCTGAATACAAAACTATATTAAAATAGCAAAACATTATATTTTAAATGTTTTGTTATGATATATTATTGATAAATCAATCACATTAGTTATAATGACATTGAAAATCAAGGCTATTATGATATGTATGTGAACATGATTGATTTTAAAAACAAAACTACTGTAATAGATGCTATTTAAATGACACACACTTTTTACACTAAACATAGCACAAATAAGTATTTAAATTATAATTGTATAATTATATAACAAAACTTATTATTTCATAATTAGGTTATAAAACAAAAATAATAAATAAATTTTTATCAATTAAATAAAAAATATGAATTTATTGACTGAATAACTGGACACTATTTCCTATGAGTATTATTTTCTCTCTCGGAATCGCTGTCTTCGTTAATTGTATACATTTTAATGTCATTTGTGTTGTTATTGTTTTTATGTAAGTTATTGACGACAACCGATTGGAGTAACGGTTTGTTTGCCGCAGACTTTACCACAGAATTCGTATTTTTATTACTATTTACGGCAACTCTTTGTATGTCTATAACGCCATCCATTTTATCCTTTTGCCTCTCAATGTGTATTAATTTTCTATTAAAAAATCATTAATAAATATAACTATCAAAACATATTAACATTATTATGTATTAAATGTAATATAGACTTCATACAGAATCTGTTTGTTATTTGTAATTATAAGCTAAGTTTTCGTAAGATAATTATACAAGCTAGATTATTTAGGTTTGAAATAGTTATATAATTTTCCAGTTTGACTTATATAACATTTTAACATACCTGGTCCTAATGTGAACAATTTCAATGGCAATCCAAAACATGATAGTCAACACAAATACAGTTATGACCAGGAATATCAGTAACTGGTATAGCGTTGACAGTGTATTCAATTGAACTAGTTCAGAGTTTAGAGTTTGTGAATCCATCATTTTAATTTTGTATGTTATGCTATTTTAAACTTATTATTATTATTAGAAATTATTCATAACTCTTAATTTGAAAGTCAAAGCACTTATTATACGAAAAACAAAACACTTAATGAGAAAAGTATTGCTTAATTCCCATAGACTTCAGCAATTGTGTTGAGAAACAACTGATTATTAGTTTTTATTGTTATTTCATATTCTCTGTCATTGGGTCGACACACATACCGGCGCTGATTATGTACACATGATATGGCATTACATGCCTATACCGACGATAACTGTAATCTTCAATTACTAAGTAATAATAATTGAGTCAATAGTGTATAAACACTCGTTATAATCAAGTGCTGATTAAAGACTTATGAATTTGTATGAGTTTTGCGAACAAAATAGTTTTGAAACTTTTTGATTGCATATCAAATGTTGTGTACATTTCCTTGTTATGACTGAAAATAATTTTTAAATTGATTTTCTTTATTATAAAGAGTGTTAACTATAGCTATTTTATAGCATAGAGATGTTTATACATTTATGGCACTTTAAAAATACAGCTCATTTTTGCTATAAAGCATATAAATTAGTATTTAACTCAAATCTCAAGGTTTTAGTCCCCATAAAACGTATTAAAAAACTAGTTTTGGTTGTCATATGTTTTAGTATAAATGTTATATTATATTTGATAATACCATTTAAATACTTTGAAAACACTCATTGCCCATCTATCAGGATTCAATACAAATTTTACAGACTAAGTCACTGACAGGGGTTTTGTATTTTATAATTATAGTAAGCAATCATTTTATAGACTATTATTTATTATTAATATTTACTGTTATGTATTATGGATTAAAAGCATATTTATATGAGAATTTAAAATAATAAATTTTGCATTCAATATAAAAAACTGTAGTCTATTAAAGTATGTATAATTTATGTTTAATTTTATAAAATATATTATTTTATTATTTCAAATAAATTTTGCAATTAATTAATTATTTATTTATTTATTTGCAAAGTGCTTTAATTATTAATCAGATTTTACTTGCTTACATGTTTACATGTTTTACATGGTTTACATGATTTACTAATTTTTGAGGACATGAATTTTATTCAAATCACTGTATTTATAAAATTATTGCAAAAATGTTGTTGATTGTTTATATTATTTTAATATTAATTATAATTGAAAGAGAATTTTAAAAATAAAGAAATATAATAATAAAAACTTATTTAATATTTTAATTCAATGAACCAATTCTTGTGATGCGAGTTTGAAAATCAAAATGTTATCAAAATGTGAATAAATAAAGTTATAGTTCCCTCACATGTTTTCATTAAAGAATATTTTATAATAAACTTTTAATTACTATTATAAATCACATTATCATGTATTACTGAGAAAGTCAATTAATTAACATTTTATTAAATAAATTGATAATACTTTTAATGAGACTCACGCTCTAACGTAACAGACTATAATAAAATCAAAAATTATTTTCAATAAAAATATTATTATTTACTTACAATTCACACCCTATATAATGATCTATTAATTAGAAAACTAAAAAAATGTATTTTATAAATTTAATAATTTTTAACTAAATGATAAAACATCCCTTAACTCTTTATAATTAATTAATAAAATCTAATGTGCTTTTAATATAATTTATTTAATTTATGTTATAGGCATTTTCATTGTGACTAGATTAACAAAATTATATTAACATAATATAATTATTAATAATTCACAAATATTATGCAACATACAAACTATATTAATACTGTATTTAAGCTAAAGTACTAATGACTGTGCAGTTAATGTTAAGATTTATTTTTAGCCGAAACTAAATAAATAAAAATGAATAAAAAATTATAAAAAGTATATATTAAAACATTTATACAATTTACGTTTTATTTCGTATTAACAATTATATGTTAAAAAAGTTGTACAAAACTTTGTGCTTTTATTTAAGTTTTATGTTTAACTGATTTAAAATAAACAATCCAACGATCGTAAGAATATTCTGAATAAAATCCTATCTATTAGTGATCTTAATATGAGTCAAGGGGTTGTTATGGAGACTAATCAAACCAATCCATCAGAAACTTATAACTGTATGCAATAATAATATTATAATTTATTAGTTTAATTTAATAGTATTTTAAATTTTAAATATAGATAATGGGAATGGGATTAAACCAAAACCGCGAACCCCTGGCCTTATTCATCGTACACAAACTAACATCCAGGACAATACACAGCCAACAGTCGTAGTGGACAATCACATTAATTATTTTGGTGTAGTATTACCTAAAAAGGACCAGAGATTGTCACTATACGAGCGAATACAGCATAACACCTATGAATTTCTGTACAAACCGAGTGGTCTATTCTCGTATACCTATCACATACTCGTATTGATTCTGGTATTATTGTGCCTCATAATGACTTTCCTGATAACTGTCCAACAAATTGCTGTCATATCGTGGAAAATCATGGATATCTTGGAGAAGGTGATCATCGCGTGGTTTGCGTTTGAGTTTGTCATCCGTTTGTGGGCCAGTGGTTGTCGGCCGGAATACCAGGGCTGGAATGGGAAAGTGCGATATCTATGCAGAATCGAGTCAATCATAGATTTAGTGGTGATTGTGGTGTCGGCGGTGGTGTTGGGACTCCAGCCGATCAACTTAGTCGTTGACACGAGTATAGTGTTCGCTGCGGCAGCCCTTCGAGGCTTTCACCGGCTGTTTATAGTCATACGACTGGTGTGGGCGAGAAAGTCCACTTCTGGTGTTGACAGTGCCGTCAGTCCCTTCCGGATGTTTGTGTCTGTCCTGTACTCACAGAGGGAACAGTTGGCTATTATTACATATATTAGTTTTGTTGTCTTCTTCATCGGTTCATTTCTTGTATATTTGGCCGAAACTCAAACAAATAGTGAGTTCAAGAACATAGCGAATAGCTTTTGGTGGGCGGTTAGTATCACTTTTTACATTTACAAGCATACCTGTCCATAAATTGTAATATAACTTAAGTTTACATTTTAAAAATCTAATCTAGTTATTATTTATTAATTGTTTTAAATTATTAATTATTTTGAATTTATTTTTAAAAAATTTTTTTAATTCAAAGGTTGAAACAGTTATCACAGTTGGCTACGGAGATATAGTTCCCGTAAGTGTTAAATACATTTTAAATACCCACACAAAATTGTAATTAAATATTAATATGTTTAAATAATTTACATTATTACTAATCTTATCCAGATTACTATACCGGGAAAATTTTTGGCATCTATTTTCATGATCATAGGCTTCTGGTTATTCGCATTGCCCACTGAGGTTATCGGCACCGGAGTGGCCCTTAGAGTAGAGAAAATGGAGGCCGATGTCAAACATAGCCCTCAATTCATACCCGCAGTCATATTAATTCAATCCTATTGGAGGTTTGATAATAAATTAATTTTAAACCTAATTTGTTTTATATTTAAACTTATTGTGTTTATGTGTACTAGGTTCTATGCGTCAAACCACAAGCCTCTATCCCAGACCACGTGGTATATCCCGCATAACCGGGTGATTGTGGACCGGAATCAGCAAAATGTTGTCCGATTCATACGAGCCGTAAAGTTATTG